AAAAGCAATTCTAGGGAACAAAGTCAAGGCAAAAGGTATCACAATCTCTGATTTGAAATTATACTACAGAGCTATTGTGAAGAAAAAAAAACAGTATGGTACTGGCAAAAAGAAAAACAGACCTGGAATATGTGGAAACAATCACAAATACACTCCGTCACCTTATCTTTTGACAAAAGGCCCAAACATATTCACTGGAAGAAAGCCCCTTTAATAAGTGGTGCTGGACAAATGGGATTTCTACATATGGAAGACTAAAACTAGACCCATGTCTCTCATCAAGCACTAAAGTAAAATCAAAATGGATCAAAGATCTAAATATTAAAACAAAAAGACTAAATCTGCTGGAAGATAGAATAGGTAGAACTCTTGAAGACCTAGGTGTAGACAAAGACTTTATAAACAAAACTCAGATTGCACAGGAAATATTATAAAGAATCAACAACTGGGATCTCATCATATTAAAAAGCTTTTGCACAGCAAAAGAAACCACCCACAGAATGAAGAGATAAACCCACAGAGTGGGAAAAAAAAATTTTTTTTGGTACTGGGGATCAAACTCAGGCCTTGTGCTTGCAGGGCAGGCAGTGGAACCACTGAGCTAAATCCCCGGCAGGAAAAAAAATTTTGCCAGCTATCAGCCAAAAACTTAATACCCATAATATATAAAGAACTCAAAAAGATCAGACACCTTTTCTCAAAGTCTTTGTAAAAAGGGGGGGTGGAGGGTTGAAGGGGGGACAGGGGAATAGGGAAAAAATAAGAACCAAGATATATCCTGTAAAGGTACAAATTCCCAATAATGAATGTCATTATATTGTATACCTAAAATGTACCAATAAACTTAATGAATAAAAAAGATAAGACACACCAAATTTATTTATTTATTTATTTTTGAGCTGTGAACCTGACAGATATTTTTTTTAATTAAATTCTTTTATTGGTACATTGTAGGTATACAACACAATTAGATTTCTCATTGGGAATTGTACCTTTACATAATGCATCTTGGTTCTTATTTTTTCCCCATTCCTAGCCCTCCCTTCATGCCCTCCACCCTTCCCTATTTACAAAGACTTTATTTCCATTTTTTCCATTTCTCATCATTTTTCCTTTCCCTTCTTTCCTTTCCCCTGCCCTTCCCACTACCCCTACCCCTTTGGACCTTTTCTTCCTATTTTGCATTATTGATTATTCATTCTAATCATTGGTACATTTTAGGTATACAATATAATGACATTCATCATTGAAAATTTGCACCTTTACATAGTCTCTCTTGATTCTTATTTTTCACCCTTGCCCAGCCCTCCCTCAACCCCTCCATTCCTCCCTATTTACAAAGATTTTGTTCCTATTTTTCCATTTTCTCATATTAATCCCATTCCCTTCTATTCTTTCCCCTAGCCCTCCCACTTCCTTCCCCTTTGCCCCTTTTCTTCCTATTTCACATTACCTATTATACATTTTAGTCCTTATTTACACTTTCAGTTTCTCACACCAGAGAAACTATTTGATATTTACACATGTGAAAACACACCAGATTTAAAGACCTAATTCAAAAGTGGGCATCTGAAATGAATAGACACGTCTTAGATGAAGATGTACAAATGGCAAATAAATATATGAAAAAATGTTCAATATCACTGGTCATTCAAGAGATACAAATTAAAACAACGCTAAAATTCCACCTCACTCCAGAAATAATGGCTATTATCAAGAAATCAAGCAATAACAAATGCTGGAAGGAATGTGAGGAAAAAAGAACCCTTCTCTATTCTTGGTGAGAGTGTATACTGTGTATACAGTATATACACTGTATACATGTTGGTGAGAGTGTATACTGTGTCTACTGTGTATACTCTGTGGAAATCAATGTGGAGATTCCTCAAAAAACTAAGACTAGAGGTTCCATTGGACCCAGCTACTCCTCATCTTGGTATCTTCCCAAAAGAATTAAAAGCATCATACCATAGTGATATATGCATACCCATGCTTACAATGGCAGTTTAGAATAGCTAAATCTTGGAAACAGGTCAAATCCCCATCAACTGATGAATGGACAGAGAAGATGTATTTTTTTATACAAGGGAGTACTTCTCTGACATAAAGAAAAAGTTGAGGCATTTCTAGGTAAATGGATGCACCTTGAGACCATACTCTTAAGTGAAATAAATCAGACACACATATTTAAATATCACATTGTTTCTCTGGTGTGAGAAACCAAAAAGGTAAATAAGAACTAAAATGTATAATAGATGTTGTGAAATAGGAAGAAAATGTTAAAGTGGGAAGGGGGAGGAAGAAAGGAAGGAAAAGAAAAAAAAGGAGAATAGAAGAAAAAATGTAAATGAAGCTTTTGTAAATAATGAAAGGAAGAGGGGTTGAAAGGAGGGTAGGGGATTGGGGGAAAAAAGAAGAATAAAGATATATCATGTACAAGTACAAATTCCCACACCAGGTGCAGTCGCACATGCCTATAATCCCAGTACTCAGGAGGCTGAGGCAGAAAGATTGCCACAAGTTTGAGGCCAGCCTGGGCTACATAGTGAGTTTAAGGCCAGCCTGAATTACAGAGTGAGACTCTGTGTAAAGAAAAAAAGTCTAACTGGTGAGATCCATAATGAAAGTACAAATTCCCCATAATGAATGCTATAATTATGTGTAAATTTATGCGTAAAACTATGTTCTAAAGTGTACCAATAAAATTAATTTTTAATAAAAGAGTAGAATGATGTTACCAGGTGTTAGAATACTGGTTGGGAGATGTTGGTGAAATGATACACAATTTCAGTTAGACAAGAGAAGCAAATTCAAGAGATCTATTGCACAAAATGCTGACTATGGTTAATAAAAATATATTGTACGGGTATTTGAAAGTTGCTCATTTTTAGTTTTCTCACCACAAAAAAAAAGGATGTGAGTTAATGCCCATATTCATTAGCTCTCTTCAGCCCATCCACAATGCATGCATATTTCAAAACATGTTGTACCTGATAAATATATACATTTTTCTTCTACATCTTTTCTACATTTTCTTCATCTTATACACATATATAATTTAAATCGCTTCTCAGCCTTTTGGCTAAGATCAAACGTACATATATAATTTTTTACTTGTCAATTTAAAATAAATAATTTTTTTCTAGTACTAAGAATGGAACCCAGGGCCCCACACTGAGCTATATCCCAAGCTCTTGTTCACTTTTTGAGACAGGGTCTCACTAAATTGCTCGGGCTGGGCTTGAACTCATCCTCCTGCCTGCCTCAGCCTCCCAGAGTGCTGGGGTTCCAGGAGTGTACCACCACACCTAGTTAAACCATGTAAATGGAGAGGGCATTTGTAAGTCTTTTTTCTTCCCCATCTCTGATAATTCCATCTACCTATTGCTGCTTCTTCTTCTTCTTTTTCTGCCATATCCTAAAATCCATCAGCAAATGTAATAGCTATATCTTCAAAATAGGTCCAGAATTCTCTAGGCCATCACTTTAGTTTTTTTGTTTGTTGGTTGGTTCTTTGGTTCATTTGTTGGTTTCTTGGTTTGTTGGTTTTTTGGTTTTTTTGAGACAGGATCTTAATATGTAGTTCAGGCTGGCCTTAAACTCATTATGTAGCCCAGATTGGCCTTGAACTTGCAGCAATCTTCCTGCCTCCATTTTCCCATGTACAGTGGACCCTCGAGTTATGACGGGCCTGACATACAAACAATTTGGGTTACAACTGGAATTTTAGTTTTAACTTATGACCTAAGTCTTGAGTTACAACCTGAATGCCAGCCACTTGTGCTTCCAGATGGTCTCAGATACAGATTTACCCCTTCCAGAGTTCTGGAAGAAATACTACAACATCCTTTCCTATGTAAGGTTGAGAAATCCTGGGCCAATGTCTCTCTAAGGACACTGAGGTTTGCCTGTATACAGAGAGACTTTGGAGACTTTGAAGAGAAACCTGAACCTTCAACTGACCAACTTGAGTTACAGCCAGCCCTCATGAATGAACTGAGTTCATAAGTCAAGAGTCCACTGTATAAAATGGGGTTAGTAATTTCTTTCAACCTCATAAAGTCATGGCAAAGATTAAATGAGAATCACACCATATATCTAGCACATAACACAGGAATATTATTATTTGCATCCACGTGGGGCATCCTCTGGACCCTGAGTGGTAAAGGGATGCCTTTCACATTTATTTGTCTTCAGTTAGGTAAAGGGGAGAGAGCTGGAAGGTGGTAGGTCAGTGCCAACTCTGCCACAGCCTCCAGCATGACTCAAAAACCTAACCTCATTCCGCCGCCTGCCTCGCAGTCACAGGGTCCTAAATTCAATCCCCGGTACAAAAAAAAAAAAAACAAACCTAACCTCTCCCCCCTGCTTCTTCATTTCTCAACACTTATTTTTGAGGAAATGAAAGTTTCCTCTTCTGAGATGTGAGAACTTCCCCTGAACCCAGATAAACACTCGCCAGGACCAGCGGTCCCCTGGGTGGAGGGCCTAGAATAGGACCCCACCCACCCCACGGGCTGTGGACCATATGGGGAGCTTTTGGGGTCATAATGAATTAGGGACAAATGTAGAGGTGGGAAGAGACAAAAGTAGAAGGAACAGGAAGTGGTGTGAGCCTCCATCCCCCCACAGCCACTTCTGTGATGAGTTGACAGTCAAGCCTCCTTTCCATAATCACCTCAAAACAGGAAAGATTCTGCTATTAGTAAAGGACACTTATTGATCAGCAGATTGGTCCATTTGGAGAAAGTCTATCCATCCTTGGATAAAATTTAGGAATTGTCAGGGACGGGGTCTGGACCGTGCACGTACTTCTGGCGGTGGGATTCTATCTGTGCGGGTGATGGTAGCAGCTGCCGCTGCAACCATAGCAGCAGATATTTTGAAGGTGAGGAAGAAGACTCTAGAAATGTTGATTTGCCTTACATTCCCCCTGAAAACTCACCTACACGTCAGCAATTCCATTCTAAGCCAGCAGATTCTGACAATGATGATGATCCCTTGGAGGCATTTATGGCTGAAGTAGAGGATCAGGCAGCTAGAGACATGAAGAGGCTCGAAGAAAAGGACAAGGAAAGAAAAAACATAAAGGGTATTTGAGATGACATTGAAGAGGAAGATGACCAAGAAGCTTATTTTCGATACATGGCAGAAAACCCAACTGCTGGTGTGGTTCAGGAGGAGGAAGAAGACAATCTGGAATACGATAGTGATGGAAATCCAATTGCACCCCGCAAAAAATAATTGACCCTCTTCCTCCCATTGATCATTCAGAGACTGACTACCCACTGTTTGAAAAAAAGTTTTACAATGAACATGAGGCGATAACCAACCTCACTCCACAACAGTTAATAGATATTGGGCATAAGCTCAATCTTCAGGTCTCTGGTGCTGCACCTCCCAGACCAGGAAGTAGTTTTGCTCATTTTGGGTTTGATGAACAACTTATGCACCAGATTCGGAAATCTTGAGTACACACAACCCATTCCAATACAGTCCCAGGGTATACCTGTGGCATTAAGCAGCAGAGACAGGATTGATAGTGCTAAAACTGGCAGTGGAAAAACTACAGCTTTTATCTGGCCCATGTTGATTCATATAATGGACCAGAAGGAATTGGAGCCAGGTGATGGACCAATTGCAGTGAGTGTGCATCCAATGAGGGAGCTTTGCCAGCAGATCCATGCTGAATGTAAGTGGTTTGGGAAAGCATATAATCTTCGATCAGTGGCTGTCTATGGAGGAGGGAGCATGTGGGAGCAGGCCAAGGCCCTTCAGGAAGGGGCAGAGACTGTTGTGTGTACCGCAGGTCAACTGATTGATCATGTGAAGAAGAAAGCTACTAATCTTCAAAGAGTCTCTTACCTTGCGTTTGACGAAGCAGATTGAATGTTCGACATGGGATTTGAGTACCAGGTTCGATCCATAGCAAATCATGTCCGTCCTGACAGACAGACTCTCTTATTCAGTGCAACTTTTCAAAAAAAGATTGAAAAATTGACCAGAGACCTCCTGATTGACCCTAATCGAGTGGTGCAGGGAGATATTGGAAAGGCAAATGAAGATGTGACACAGAGTGTGGAAATTCTCCATTCTGGGCCTAGTAATTGAACTGGCTTACCCGGCGTCTGGTGGAGTTTACTTCTTCAGGGAGTGTCCTACTGTTTGTTACTAAAAAAGCCAATGCTCTTTACCCTTCTACCTTGTGAGGACTGGTGTTCATGGTGCCATTTTGCCTTGATGTTGGACTCTAGCCTCCAGAAGTGTCATCAGCTCCATGAGGTCCCTCTCTGAATACTGCCTGCCTTCCATTCTTTGAACATTATTTGACTGGTACAAAAGGCAAAATGGCATTGAGGATGAATCACATGAATATAAGCCAAGAACAAGCAATAAATCGAAAAGTGATGAACAGCAGTGAGATTATTTAATGGAAAGATGGGACCTCGCCATTGATTTTATTTTTTCTTTAGTATTAATAGAAGTTTTGAAACAGATTCCACTTCATCTTGTAATACACAGTTTAATACATGATGTTATTAACTTGGCGTTCAAGCACTTTAAATACAAAGAAGGGTACCTTGGTCCTATCACTGGCAATATGCACATTGTGGCGACCTGTATGCAGAAGTCCTTGGAGTGTTGGCACAAGCTAAATTCCCTGTGGTCAAGAAAAACTTTATGGCAGAGCTAAAAGAATTACGGCACAAAGAGCACAGCCCATATGTGGTACAAAGCATTATCAGCTTGAAAATGGGGATGAAATTCTTTCGAATTAAGATGTATCCAGTGGAGGACTTTGAGGCCTCTCTTCAGTTCATGCAGGAATGTGCACATTATTTCCTTGAGGTCAAAGACAAAGATATCAAACATGCCTTACCTAGACTTTTCATGGAAATCCTGGTCCCAGTTGCTGCTACTGTTAAAAATGAAGTAAATGTTCCCTGCCTCCAAAACTTTGTGGAAAGTCTATATGATACCATGCTGGAACTTTCTTCTCGAAAGAAGCATTCCTTGGCTTTGTACCCCCTGGTGACCTGTCTGCTCTGTGTCAGTCAGAAGCAGCTGTTCCTGAACAGATGGCCTGTGTTCCTCAACAATTGCTTGTCTAACCTGAAGAAAATAGCTCCATTCTGTGGAAGGATTGACCTAGTAACAAACCGCACTTGCCTCCATCGCTGTCATGTGTGATTGCTTCGGGTATTCTATTTAAGCCACCTGACACTACCAGTGGCAAGTGTTCGCTGCTCCTCAGGTAGTCAGCACAGTTGCTGAGTGATGACAGCAATAAAGTCATAGTCCCTGAGACCAAGAAGCCTACAGTGGAAACAGCTGCAATGATTAGCTTCAAAACTAAGCTTTATAGCTTTGAAGTGGAAAACATGTTTTAAATTTCAGTGACCAATTGATGAAGACAATAAGCCCCTCCTTAAGTACAATGCAATGCATTCTTCACACTTTCCTAGTTATGGCCAAAGCTGTGGTGTGGGTTTTTTAAACAGGTTTGATATTTGCTATTTCAAATTTTTGAAAAATATTTAGTTATAAAATTTTATATGTGCTCATACATGTTGCCTTGTTTTGTGTTTTCTCTGAGACACTTTAATTTAGTGAAGTAGTTAAGATTAATTACATTATTTTGGCATTTGCCACAATTACACAATAATCTGCATTACAACCATTTTAAAGACCAACTACGTACTGACTCTAAAAGCTGATTGTGAAATCCAAGATTAGAATCATTTATTTCCTTCAAATTGGCAGTGAAATATAATAGCAGTGAATAGAGAATGAAGCTTTTGAATTCTGCAAAGAGTGAAATATTTTCAGGGTTATCAACTGTTATATAACAACCGCTTTAAGGTATTTTGTTTGAGGATTTATCTGTGTGCCATGTAACCCTTAAACTACAGCCCAGTGTTATTTTTGTTATTTGGTCCATTTTTATGTATCTAGTTATTAATAAAAGTTAATTTCTTTTTTTAAAAAAAGCCAACGCTGAAGAGCTAGCCAATAACCTCAAGCAGGAGGGTCATAATCTTGGGCTGCTCCATGGAGGCATGGACCAGAGTGAAAGAAACAAAGTCATTTCAGACTTTAAGAAAAAGGACATCCCAGCCCTGGTGGCCACTGATGTTGCTGCCCGGGGTCTGGACATTCCTTCAATTAAGACTGTCATTAACTATGATGTGGCACAAGACATTGATACCCATACGCATAGGATTGGCCGCACAGGAAGAGCTGGTGAGAGGGGTGTGGCCTGTACCTTACTGACCCCCAAGGACAGCAGTTTTGCTGGTGACCTTTCCGGAACTTGGAAGGAGCCCACCAACATGCTTCCAAGGAACTCCTAGCTCTTGCTATGCAGAAGGCCTGGTTTCAGAAATCCTGCTTCAAAGGAGGGAAAGGCAAAAAGCTGAACATTGGTGGAGGAGGCCTGGGCCATAGGGAACAGCCTGGCCTAAGCTCTGAGAACACAGATGGAGGAAATAACAACAATGTGATGAGTAATTATGAGGCCTACAAGCCCTCCACAGGAGCCATGGGAGATTGCCTGACAGCAATGAAAGCAGCTTTTCAGTCACAGTACAAGAGTCTTTTTGTTGCAGCCAGTTTAAGTAATCAAAAGGTTGGAAGCTCTGCTCCTGGACCAAGTGGATGGACTGGTGAGGGAAGCTTGAATTCTGTTCCAACTAATTCAGCACAGCAGGGCCATAACAGTCCTGACAGCCCTATTGCCAGAGCTGCCAAGAGCATCCTGGGCTTTGGCAATGCTGGGAATATCAGCAATGCTCTGGTGACATACCCTTCTGTTGGCACCCAGGGAGCCAACAACACAGTTTCAGGAAATAACACCTGAGGCGGGTTTGGGGGTGACCATGGGAAAAGAGAGAGAGATACCGAGAACTGGGGTGGCAGTCATCACAGTCACGGTGAGAGTGGCAATGGACACGGCGACAGCCCACATCATGGAGATGGTGGTCGCCATGGAGATGGATACTGCTACCCAAAAAGCAGCAGCAGCTGTTCTACTGATGGCCATCGGCACGGGGAGAACAGGCAGGAAGGAAGTGCAGGCCGGCATGGGGAAAGCCAGGGTACAAATGATGGTCGGAATGGAGAAAGCAGGAAAGAAGGCTGTAATTGTGAAAGCAAGATGGACCCCAAGGGGGACAGCCAGATGGACAAGATGGACAGCAAGACAAATAAGACAGCTGACGGTTTTGCTGTCCTGGAGCCACCCAAATGAAAGAAGAGTCAATGGGACAGTTAGAGGGTATTGCTACAGTGTGAAGTCAGTTCTTTAATTTTATTTTTAGAGAGATTTTGGTAACTAGGTACCTCAGGGCGGGGTTGGGGTCCAAGGCATGAGGACCCCTGCCCTTAGTGGAGAGCTGGAGCACAGAGGCATCACACCTTCATATGGATGATTGTTCAGATGCTTTCTTGGGAAGCTGCTTTGGTCCCTGCAAGCAGTGAGAGCTGGGAAGCTTCTCTTGGCTCTGGGTGAGTTGTCATGAGGGTAAGTAGAAGACACTTCAAGTGTAAAGGGCCTTATAGGGCACAAAACTCACTCCAGGTTACTAAATAGCATATATTTTTTACTAAAATGTCACCTTATAAACATCTATGAATCAAATTCTTTTTCTTAGCACTCTGCTGGCCAGGCAATCCCCTTTTTAGGAGTTGTCTTCTGCACACCCAATCCATTGAGCTGTTGGGAATGTTGGAAAGTAGTTTGGTGCTTTAAGACATTTGCAGGGAAGGGAGACACCCAATTCTAAACAAGAGATGATGCTCAAGTTCTCCAGATTGTATCCAGCCCTGAGACATATAAGAGGCAACCTTCTAGACCCAGCTTCTGAGGTTCTCAGAGCCTCTATGATTGAAGAGAAATGATTTTCCTGAAGGGGGTTCCAGGATTGTTTCAGGCCTGAGGTAGTGTCTTCTTATTTGGTTTGGTTTTGGGGGGTTTGTTTTGTAACTTACCTCAATAGAACTCTTTTGCTGAAATGACTGATAATTGTTGTTCTATCTCGTTCATAAAAGGAAAAGAAATACATGAACTTCAAATTTTGTGACTTTGTGAAGGTTTCTTTAAGATGTGCATTCCTCTGATTGCTCTCTAGTAAATGTTTTATTACTGGGGGAAAAAAATTAGGAATTGTCCAAAGGAATTACCATGTTGAGTGGCATGTGGTTAGCCCTCTGGTACCTGCCCTCTGAGTATTGGTGGCGGTGGTGGTGGTGGTAGTGTTTGTTATAATGATCAAAGATTGGGGAGTTTGGCGTTTAGTCGCTATTATGGGATGAATTGTGCTCTCCCAAAATATATGTTAAAGTCTCAGCCCCTAGTACCTCAGAATGTGTATTTGGAGATAGGGCACAAGAATCAAAAAATAATAATAATAATAATAATCCTAACATTCTGGGAGGCTGAGGCAGGCAGATTGCAAATCCAAGCCCAGCCTAGGCAACTTAATGAGACTTAGTGAGACCCTGTTTCAAAATAAAGGTGGGGGTTTGGCTATGTAGCTCAGTGCAAAGGAATTGGGTTCAATCCCCAAGATCACACACACAAAAAATGACTTGGTCCTGACAGTCCTATAAAATTGACACAGTGACCAGCACCACTCAAGGAAGTGATATTTGAGAAGCACTAACCTTGCAAGAGCTTGGGCCCAGGGATTTAGCTCAGTGGTTCTGGTTGCAGGCGCAAGGTCCCAAGTTTGATCCCCAATACAAAAAAAAAAAAAAAATTTCAAGAGCTAACAGCCAAAAAAAGTCCACACAGATGTGAAGTGATAACAACCTCATCAAACATTTTACAATCTACACAAGCTCGAGGGCACGTGTTGGCAGGAACCTCCATCATTGTCATGTGGATCTGGTTACACTATGTGTAATCCGCTTTTTAACTGATCTGCCTTTCTCAAAATTCCACAGCCCAGATCTTGGAAGAGGCCAATTCTGCCACCTCACTTGTACAAATATTCCCCAAGACATTGAGGACATTGATCATCAAATTGTTCTACCCTAGCCACTTCTCAGAAGCTCTTCACATCAGGGAGGTGAGGAGCCCAGTTCCATCTTATGATGGTTCAGAGGATCCAGAATTTGTCAGTCTGATGTAGTGTCAGATCCAGAGCCCCTAGATCACCACTGCATCTCAAGGGCCATGATCAGGAATCTGGTGAATGTCTTCTATATCCCAGAACTGGGAGATATCATACCACCAAGACCCAGCATCCTCCAGCTCACCATCCTGAAATAGATGGCCTGGCTGGTGTTGCAGGGAACTTGCTATGACTAGGCTTCCAGTCCATGTGAATTCACCAAGAGGCAGAGCCTATCATGAAAGAGCAGGAGACTCCTCTCCAAGAGCCAGTATGCTTGAGTATAGACCCCAGCTCCAACCCTGGGCTTCAGCAGGAACATTTCCGCTCACAAATCCAATACGTAGTTGTGGCACAAGAGAGATCATTCCAGCTGCCACCTTTATTCATGCTGGCACAGTCTTCTCTTCCAAAGGCATTGTTGGGCTCCTGTGGTTCCCAGAAACTAGGTGGAGCAAACAGTGGGCAGGAAGAAGGATAAACAAGGGGAGCACAGGAATTTCTAGGGTGCTGAAACCATTCTGTACAATACTGGATTGGCAAATGCATGCCATTATGCAGTTGTCAAAACCCATGCAGGTATACAACAGATAGAGTGAACTGAGGACTTTAGTTAATATCGACCAAAAAAAAAAAAAAAAACAAAGGAGGAAACAAAAATAAGCATGAGAGTTCACACCTGTAATTCCAGCTACTTGGAAGGCTGAAGAAGGGGGGTTCCAAATACGAGCCAAGCCTGAGCTGCTTAGCAAGACCTTGTCCCAAAATAAAAAATAAAAAGGGCTAGGGCTGGAGATTTAGCTCAGTGGTTTCGCCGCCTGCTGCACAAGCACAAGGACCCAAGTTTGATCCCCGGTACCAAAAAAAAACAAAATAAAAAGGGCTAGAGATGAAGCTCAGTGGTGGAGCACTTGCCTAGCATGCACAAGGCCCGAGCACCACAAGAAAGAAAAAAGAAGTCAAGTGTGATGGCACATGTCTGTAATCCCAGCATTTTGGGAGGGTGAAGCAAATTCAAGACCACCCTGGGCAATTTAGCAACTTAGTACCACCAAAAAAGAAAAGGAAAAGAAGGAAGGAAGGAAAATGAAAGAGAAGAGAGGGGAAGGGAGAGAGGGGAAGAGAAGGGAAAAGAAAAGAAGGAAAGGAAGGGAAAAGAAAGGGAAGGGAGGGAAAGGAGAGGAAGGAAGGGGAAGGGAGGGGAATGACAAGAAAGGAAATAAAAGGAGGGAAAGAAGGGGAAGGGAAGAAAGAAGAAAGAGAAGAGAAGGGAAGGGAAGAAAAGGGAGGAGGGGAGGGGAGGAGAGAGAAAAATTAGTTCTGACTCCCTCAACCACACATCCCATTGCCTTCTTGTCTCCCAATAGCTGAGCCCATAGAATAGACAGAGAGACCCCAGGATCCCTGGACACTTGCCTTAATGTGACAGGAGAGCCATCTAGCCACCTCCAGTTGCCTTCTTGGTCCTTGTCATTCAGCCCCAGCCAGTAAACCCGTGAAGAGCCATGAGCCTTGGCCACAAAATTCTGCAAGTACAAACTCCATTTAGCCATCAATTCTACAGCACCCACAGAACAAAGGCCCACCCTCACACTGAATAACACATTTAGGACTTGAAGATGTTGCTCCACGCCCTTCTAAGCCTCCATGAGCTACACAAAAGGATCAGTACCTCCCCCCAAATTTCATCCTTCAATTTTCCCATGCACACTGTAAACACTCTGCCATGGTGTAGGTGTGGCTGTCTGACCTTTAAGAGTGGTCTTAATGAGGGCCGGGCATTTAGCTCAGTGGTTTCGTCGCCTGCTGCGCAAGCAAGCGCAAGGACCTGAGTTTGATCCCCAGTACCAAAAAAAAAAAAGTGCTCTTAATGAAAGGTCCTTGGGTCACTGGAGAGCCCTGCTGCTCTCAGGGAGTGATCTGATTCCCCTGAGGATGGGCTGTCCTTTCCAGTCTCTGGTTTCCTGTCTTGCCATGTGATTGTTCCCTGTCACACTCCCACAGTGACACCATCCTCATCATCATGACACTGGCAGCAAGACCCACACCAGAGCTGGCACTTCACTGTATGGACTTTCAACCTCCTAAATTAAATGTTAAATAAACCTCTTTTCTAGCCAGAAGTGTTGACACACACCTGTAATCCTAGCACTCTGGGTGGCTGGGGCAGGAAGATCACAAGGTAGAGCCCAGCCTGAGCAATTTAGCAAGACTTTGTCTCAAAATTTGAAAGGGGAATAGGTAGGCAGGGATTGGGATGTTGCTCAGTGTGAAGGCTGTAGGTTCAATGCCCAATACTGCAACAAAAAAATTTTTATTTAAAAATGCCATGCGGGCAGCCCCACCCCCACCCGAAGCTCTCTAAGCTGCAGTGACAAGACAAGCAGCTTGAAGCTTCTGCAAGCCGTCCCGGGCCACGCCCATGGCACAATGAGGTCCGCTTAGCCCAACGCTCAGTGTCCATTCGTGTCCCATCCCCCATCCCCACCCCGAGCACCGCCTACCTTCTGGCTTTTCTGCTACCTGGTCCCACCCACACTACAGAGGCACAGGAGATTATAAAAACCCTTGTCCTGAGCACCACAAGATAGAGCAGAAGTTAGTAACAGAAGGAGGGCTTCTCAGGCTCCTTGAAGAAAACTGAAGCTCAGCAGAAAAGTAAAGAGAACCTCTACAATAAAGGCACATCAGACCACTATACTTGGTCTGCTGCTGGCTTGCTGAGACTCATTGACTTGTATATGCACAGGGATTCCTACGTTGCCTAGTGTGACAGCAGAGACACACCCTGAAGGAGGCCCAGAATTTTCATTGCTATTTGCAAAAAAAGAAAAAAAATTTTTTTTCTTATTTTTAATTCTTAATTTTTACTTTTTTTCTACTCTTCAAAGTTTTACTTTTCTTTCTTTTATCTTTTCTTTCTCTCTCTCTCTCATTCTCTCACTGTCCCACATTGCTCCTCATCTCCCCATTTGTTCCTTTCTGCACTGAATTTGGATTTCTCCCTTACTGTTCTTTTCTTCTCTTTTTCCTTCTCTTGATTATCATTAGGTTTAAAGGAAAGTAAATTCGGTATCTAGCCTCCCTATTGCTGTTAGGTGATTTTATGCACATCTTTGTTCTTTCATTATGCCATTTTCTCTTGCCTGTAACAACTTCTTAGAGTTTCTGTGATCTTTCTGTGTCTTCTGGCCTCAACGCTAATCTTACCTGTTCTACCTGTCCCTCCATCCCCAACTCCTTTTAACTCCCCACCCCGAAGGGGAAAGATGCTATATTGAAGAGTTTATTCATTATAAACTTATGTTGGGTTGGTCCTTGGTTTTAATTTAACTCACATAGTTAAAAGTGATAGATTAATAACTACCACAAATTGTCGTTTTCTTAGCTGTGCTTGATGCTATGGTATTGCTGACTATATCATTTGGGCTAACATGCTGTGATTGATCTAAATAGTTTTCCTTCCTGGTATAAGAAAAATATAATAGCTTCAGAGTCATTAGCGTCTCAAACCCCAAACACAAGCCATATCTAGAAGACACCTCTGAAAAGCAATCATTTCACAAGGGTTTTAAACACAAGCAACAAAGATACCTACATTAAGCAAT